TCTGACAACATTGTTTGGCCCAGCAAAGAGGAAGCATTTCCCCCACCTCCTATTAAATTAAATAACCATTCATGTTAACATTTAGTATGTTCCAGGCCCTGAGTGGAAACCCTGGTGGTGTAGTGGTTAAGAGCTACGGCTGCTAACCAAAAGGTCGGCAGTTTGAATCCACCAGGCACTCCTTGGAAACCCTATGGGGCAGTCCTACTCTGTCCTCTAGGGTTGCTATGAGTCAGAATCGACTTGATGGCAGCGGGTTTGGTTGGAGGCCCTGAATGCTCAGAACCACCGAGAGCTACAAAAATGAAGCAAGACCCTGCCGTCTGGTGGCTCCCGTCTTAGTTTCTTTTCATGCTATTATAACAGAAGTACCATAAGTGGGCGGCTTTAACCAACAGAAATTTATTTTCTCACAGTTCAGGGGGCTAGAAGTCTAAATTCAGGGCGCCAGCTCTAGGGGAAGGCTTTGTCTGTCGGCTCTGGGGGAAGGGCCCTGTATCAGGTTCTCTAGCCCCGGCGTCCCTCCCCCTTCAGTTCCTTGGACATCGCCATGTGGCATCTATCTTTCCCCTGTTTGTGCTTGCTTCTCTGTGTCTCATCTGCTCTTTAAATATCTCAGAGGTCCTTAGGTTTAAGACATACTCTAAAACTGACACGGTCTCATTTACTAACAAAGAAACCCCTATTCCCAAATGGGATTACATTCCCGGGTATAAAGGTTACAATTCCAGCACATATTCTGGGGGAACACAATTCAATCTGTAACAGCTCCCAACCTAATAACTATCCACAAGTAATGATGCAACGAGCAGAGGGTTAGGAACCTTGTGTGTTGTGAGGAAATGGGGCGGGGGGCACTTCTAACTGGAGGACAGGGGATGCCCTGTGTTGTGAGGGAATCGGGTTGGGGGGGGCACTTCTAACTGGATGACTGGGGATACCCTGTGTTGTAAGGAAATCGGCGGGCAGGGGGGCACCACTTCTAACTGGAGGACCAGGGATGCTCTGTGTTGTGAGGAAATCGGGGGTGGGGGGGCACCACTTCTAACTGGAGGACCGGGGATGCCCTGAGGCATCTTGAAGGAGAGGTGTGTGCATACCAGGAACGAATTCCAGAATGAAGGGAGTATAAGCAAAGGCATGGAAAACGAGGGGGCCTGTTCAATGAGACTTCTGTGAAGCCAGAATGGGGGGCGGGGGAGAAAAGAGCAGGAGGGCGGAAGAAAGTAATACTAGAGGAGGAAATTTGTCTAGCATCTCTTACACGCCAGGCGAGATGTGCAGGTTATCCCAATCACATTGTACGGACTTCTTCAACAGTACCTTCCTTATTCTACAGACGAGGAAACTAACTCAGAGATTGAGAGACTCACCTAAGTTCACGTAGCTAGTAAACGGTGGAAAAATATTCTAATCCAGGCCTGTCTGACCTCAAAGCGCCTATTTTTTTCTTCTCTACCATGTTCCTTAGAGCCCAGCTAAGGACTCCGGACTTGAGGGAGTAGAGGAGGACAGAGGTGGTATCACCAGGTACCACTCAGGTGGGACCACCACGTGTCCAGCCCTGGGGTGGCCCTCGTTTCCCTGCCCTCAAAGAAGGCGTGGTTTTGTGGGAAAGCACAACCATTCCCAGGTATGTTCATTATAATCTAAGTAGGAGAGCAGTTTGGGCAGAGCACTGTGAAAACACCCCTGTAAGGAAAGCTGCCTGGAGATATCATCTGATCTTCTTGGAAGAAGAAAAGGTGAAAGAGATGGGAGAGGGTATCTTAGTCGGGGGAAAACGGACAGTCTGAAAGCACAGGTAACAGCCATCATGGTGCATCCATCTGGAGGTAGAGGAAGGACAGGAAAGGAGGCCGGAAGGCTTGGGAATGACGGCCTTCCTGAGGGGCTGGCCTATCCCGAGGCCTCTGGAAGTGATGTGGTCACATCTGCATGCTGGGGAAGTACAGATGCGCCTTGGGGATGGAAGACTGGAGGCTGGTAGAGCAGCTGAGGACAGCAGTAGCACAGATGGAGAAGAGATGAGTTTGAAAAACGTTCACAAGGTAAGACCATGAGGACTTGGCGACCACACATGGGGGACCAGGGCACGAGAGGAGTCAGAAGGGCCCAGGTTTTGGTCTTGGGCAACTGGGTGTGATAGGTGAGAGTGACTGTTGGAGAGGAAGCAGATCTGAGCAGAGAGTTGGCGGGGGGTTGAGTTTAGACCCAATGACTTTGAGGCCTGTGGGACACTGTGCAGGGGTGTCTGTGGACACTGATTTAGAGCCTGGGGAACATCCAGACTAGACATGAAAGGTTTCAGAGCAGTCAGCACACAGGTGGCAGTTACTGTCCCAAGAGTGGGTCGGACGGCCCAGGAGAGCATGCAGAACGAGGGGAGTGGTCAGAGGAGGCAAAGCCAGAGAGAGAAGATGGAGCAGGAGGAGACAGTGGAAAGAGCCAAGGCAGGAACCAGCGAGGGAGCAAGATGCTGTCAAGTGCAAGAGATGCGCAATAAACAAGTTCAGAACAGCCTTCACTTGCTTGGGCACCACATGGCAGGACGTCTGGTAGACCGACGGGTGACAGGACATGGGGCCAGATGACACCAAGACTACAAGACGGACGGAGTTTAGCTGAGAAGGAAAGGAGATGAGGCAGTGGCTAGAGGGAGACAGAGCATCAAGAGAGGCTTTGTTTAAATGTCAGGAAAGAATCTGAAAGAAAAGAGCCAGGAGCAGGGAGAAACGGACAGTCTATGGGAGAAGGTAAGCGGCGGTGCGGGCCCAGGGGGACGAGGTGGGGGGCATGTGCACAGGTGGGGCCAGAGCAGCACTGTGTGCCTGAGAACGGAAGGATCTTTCTGCCGTTTCATTTGTAAAACAGGTAGAAAGGGGAAGCTGGCCTTCAAGGAAATAAATTCTGATCGCTCCCATTTTCTTGAAGTAGGAAGCAATGTAATCGGGCTGTTGTTCAGGGTTGGGTTGGTTCCGACTCGTAGTGACCCTGTGGACAACAGACCAAAATGCTGCTGGGTCCTGCACCAACCTCACAACCATTGCTTTCTGAGCCCACTGTTACAGCCACTGTGTCACTTCGTCTCATGAGGGTTTTCCTCATTTTCGCTGACCCTCCACTGTAATCTAGCTACCAGAGGGAAATGGGAAGATGGCCAGAAGCAGACCTGTTAAGGACTCTTGGAAAAGTAATTTGGAGAATTTGTTGGGCAAATGGTGGAGGGGGCTGACTTAGGACAAGCGAAAAAAATTGTCAAGTGACATTAAACGCTCAGCTGCTACCGGAGACCAGCGTAAGTCGGCGAAAATCTCCATACATGCGTGGCGTTTCCCCCAGCAGATCCCAAGACTTCAGTACACAGAGGCAGGGGTGGGCTGGTATCATGGATTGAATTATGTTCCTCCAAAACATGTGTGTATCAATTTGGCTGGGCCATGATTCCCAGTATTGTCTGGTTGTCCTCCATTTTGTGATTGTAACTTTTTTTTTATGGCACTTTAGACAAAGCTTTACACAACAAATAGTTTCTCATTAAACAGTTAGCACACATACCGTTTTATGACACGGTTAACAACCCCACCACATGTCAACACTCTCCCTTCTCGACCTTGGGTTCCCTACTACCAGCTTTCCTGCCCCCTCCTGCCTTCTAGTCCTAGTCCCTCTGCTATTGTGCCCCTTTAGTCTCGTTTCGTTTTATGGGGCTGTCTAATCTTTGGCTGAAGGGTGAACCTCGGGAGCGACTTCATTACTGAGCTAAAAGGGTGTTGGGGGTGTGATTGTAATTTTATGTTAAAGAGGATTAGGGTGGGATTGTAACACCCTTACTTAGGTCACATCCCTGATCCAACCTACAGGGAGTTTCCCTAGGGTGTGGCCTGCACCACCTTTTATCTTACAAGAGATAAAAGGAAAGGGAAGCAAGCAGAGAGTTGGGGATATACCACCAAGAAAGCAGCGCTGGGAGCAGAGCGTGTCCTTTGGACCTGAGGTTCTTGCACTGAGATGTTCCCAGAACAAGGGAAGACTGATGACAAGGACCTTCCTCCAGAGCCAACAGGGAAAGGCTTCCCCTGGAGCAGATGCCCTGAATTCAGCCTTGTAACCTACTAGACTGTGAGAGAATCAATTTCTGTTTGTTGAAGCTATTCACTTGTGGTATTTCTGTTATAGCAGCACTAGATGACTAAGACAGCTGGTCAAGGGACGTTCGATCAGACAGAAGCAATGCAGGAAGCTGAGGATGTGGGTGACCACCTCCGATTCTAATCCGGGAAAGGAGGAGAGATTGGAAAAGGGAAGGCCTGTGGGCAGCATGCAGGGAGAGTGGGAGAGGAGGTATGAGAGATAGAGGACAGGCGGCTTCAGTCCAGGCAGGATGCTGGCAGTTTAAGATTCCCGACATGGTACTATTCTTAGGAACGACAAGGACCAGGATATGGCCGCTGAAGAGAGGTGGAAATGAAAGTAACCGGAGTTGCAGAAGTCACAAGATGAAGAGGCCTAGGTGACGAAAGTTAAGCACGGGCTCGTCTGGCTCAGGTGGGAGACCAAGGTTACAGCTCAAGTGCCAGGTCTTCAGCGAGCATGGTAGACAGGGTAGGAGATCAGCAAAGGAGATGGTATAAGGAGTGGCGTTGTGGGATGGCATTATCTCAGAGGATGTCAGGGTTAGCACACCCTTTGGTAGGATTTGGTTAGAAAATCACTAGAAAGATTCAGGCAGTCGGGAATTGTGGTAAGCCCTGACAATGCCATTTAAGCAGAATAGTGGAGGGACAGTCCCAATGCATCCCTCAGGTAGAAAACAGGATGGCCTGACGTAAGAAAGTCCTTCCTCCCCAGCCCCAGACCTGAATTCCCAAGGAGAAAATTGTACATGACACAAGGGAAGAAAGAACTCTGTCCTAAAGATGACCAAGTAAGCTTGGTGACAGCACTGTGCTGGGACATGGAGAGAGAGAAAAGACTGGGGCGTACTCCTCTTTCCTCACCTTGCCAGCGCTGGGCTGCCCACTGTGACAATGCTCTCGTTCTTCTTGGGGTTGGCCTCTCCGTCCAAAGCACCTCTGTGTCACAAGGAAAAAAATACCAGTAAGGTACCAGCAGCTGGATCACAGATGCAGAAACACTTCCAAAAGGAGCTCCAATATCGAGAAATCGAGCTCTGACTGCACAGCAAACACTGAAGCAGATCACTTGTTCCACCCTGAACCGACAGTAATCCACCTAGCTCACAGATTAAAAACTTATCACAGATACTGCAAATCTCTTTAAAAAAGAAAAAAAAAAAAAAAGACTGGCTAGCAAATGATATCTCTGCTTTAAAAACCCAAGTGAACGCAGGGTCCCTAAAGTCAGCATCAGGACCCTAAAGCTAGCAGTACCTGGATGCAAAGAAAAGCCCAGAAGCTGAGGTGTGAGTGGACAGGAGTCAGTGCCCCCCCGGAAGGAGGTGAGGAAGGAAACATAAACCAGGCCTGGAAGGCACGAACACTTTCTTCTCTTTGTTAACAACTCTGCGCACCCGAGCCGGGCACTTCACTTCCATGATTGCTGATTCCTGTAAGCCCTGAAGACTGGCATTACTAGTCCTGTTTCAAAGCTGTGGAAATTAAGAGTTAGGAGGTTAAAAGGCTTTTCTGATGGTTACGCAGATGGTAAATGGCAGAGCCAGGACGTGAATCCGACTTTTCCTGGCTCCAGAGTCTGCTCTTTGCATGGCTCATTTTTGCCTCCCTAAGTACATTTACAGTTGGTCTACTTTCCAAGTCCTGGAACTCCAAAACAATTTCCACTATTAAGCCCCAAGTTATAGTGGGAACTTTGAATGGGGGATGGCTCATTAAAAAATACAGAAAGCAGGACCTGATATTTGTAGCCAAGTGCTGAGAAAACCCTAGCCACCCTCCAGAGCAGTTTCAGGAGGTCAATTTGATGATTTTCAAAGGCTAACAACAGCCTTTCTATATACTAAGTGCAGTGGGCTCATCCCAAATATTTACAAATTTATGACTTGATTTATTTTACTACACCATTTTCACATAGAAATTAGCATTTAAAAAAAAAAAAAGGGCCTGGTTCACAGCCAAACACTGGATTGGACCCTTTACATCTGGAAACTGTCCGGCTCTAACATTCTCCAGTCTCAGCTGAAATGTCCCTTCCTTAGGGAGGAGGCCTTTCCCGTACTAGGCGAAGCTAGGTCCTCCTGTCCCCAAATTCTCTACTTCTCCCTAGGACATCTTACAACTGACATTTAAGTAGGTATTTGTGAATTACTTGTTCATGCCTATCTCCTTTCTGGATTGCAGGCTCCCTGCAGACAGGCACCACGCCCATCTCGTTTCCAGCTATATCCTCAGTGCCTCCCGGGAGGTGCTTAATGCGTTGGTGAATGAACAGCCGGGCTCACCTAATCCTCCCTGGGTTGTTAACTCCTCTTTAACGAACAGAAAACCCAGATGAGAGAAGCTACGTGTCACCCACTCTTACATGGCAAGTGTAGAGAGGATGAAAGATGTCACTCTGAGGACGAAGGCACATGGGACCCAAGCCATGGTATTTTCAATCGCCTTGTGTGCATGAGAAAGCTGGACAATGAATAAAGAAGACCGGAGAAGAACAGATGCCTTTGAATTATGGTGTTGGCAAAGAATGCTGAATGTACCATGGGCTTGCCAGAAGAATGAACAAGTCTGTCTTGGAAGAAGTACAGCCAGAGTGCTCCTCAGATGTGAGGATGGCAAGACTGTCTCACACACGTTATCAGGAGGGACCACTCCCTGGAGAAGGACATCATGCTAAGTAAAGTACAGGGCGAATGAAAAAAGAGAAGGCCCTCATGAGCTGGACTGACACAATGGCTGCCACAATCAGCTCGAACACAGCAACAATTGTGAGGATGGCGCAGGACCGGGCAGTGTTTCCTTCTGCTGTACACAGGGTGGTTGTGAGTCGGAAGCAACTTGACCGCACCTAACAACAGAGAAGACAACTCCCAAATCCATACACTCTCCTTCCATTCTACCACGCGAACCTACCACCTCCCAGACAAATATGTGAACATGTCAGCTTCCTGCATTTCTATTTCGCAGTTTTAAGTGTGGCGTGAAAAGAAGTGTGGCTATGAAAGTTACCATGGATTGCAACAGAATTTTCTATTCATTGTGTTCAAAGCAGAGGAAAACAGAGGCTAATTTATTACTTAAGATTTTAACTTCCCTTATATTTATGGGCAATAACTAGATTCATTTACTGTAATAAACTGTGTAGCCTCAGAAAAAGAGTTTGACTAAGACCTTATGAAAGTAAAGGAGATAAAATAAAATGCTGCGTAAAAGGTAGTAAATTTAGCTTTACAGACATTAATTTGAGACTCCACCTATAACATTTACAGGTAGGATGTTTCACTGTAATTTAAACCTCAAATTCAGTACATGTGTTGACTTGGAAAAATAAAAAGTATCTGTCTCATAGCCCAGGTTTCAAAGATTCCACAACCAAAAAGAATACTTAAAGTTTAGAAGATTTAAAAACAAATTTTAAAAAAGCCTAATTTTTCATTTAACTTGTGTTGATCTGAACTAGAGGTATCTGATTTAGATGCATAAACATGAATTTTCATCCTGTTTTTCTAACTATTTCACTGGAAAGCCAGCACGGGCCTGAACTGGATCCGGGTCCTACCACCCAAACTTCAGTCTGACCAACGGCAGTAAGTTCAAGCATAAGCTGCAGCCTCATCACCACCTTGCAATGTGACCTTGAGCAGGGAACCTCGCTCAGCTGGTTTCCTTGCCTGCAGAACGAGGAGACTGGGCTAGAGGTCTTGCTCAGCTCTAACAGTCTCACTAGTGTAACTGAGGTGGAGCACCAATGCACTCACTACTTGAAGTAGCTTCATGACAACTACACATTAGAACTAACCAAAAGGTAATCTCATGAGGCAGCTAAATTAGCTTGTGTTAAGGGGAATTACTCAGCATGAGTTCATTGCTCGAATCAATCACAATGTTAGAAATAGAAAAATGCCAGAATTGGATTTAACAATCAGCCTCCCTATAATCAATACATGAGAAGATTCTCTCTGAACAGGGCAGGGAAGGAGAAGTACCAGAAGTCTTTTAATTTGCTCTTCTTCCTCCCACTCCCACCTCTGCCCTCCCCACACGCTCCTAAATCCAATTTGTGCTATTATGGCGGTTTCACAAAAGCAACCATTGGGGAATGAGCCAAGTGGTATGTCAAAGGAGTTGTCAGCTACCAGCGCTCATCTCTGTTCTGCTGCTGTCCTGATCAGGTGCCCAAAGGATGCATCTCTCCCAGGATGCTTGTCACCACATCCCCTCAGCTGTTAGTAAACTCCTCAGTGACTCTAGAAAGCATTGCAGAACTGCTAAGATTCTTGCAATATTCTTCTACTTTCTTCTGTAGCTGTTGACATTCACTTCCCCAGTAGACTGAGCTTTGCAGAAAGCTGGCGCTAAAAACACTCGAATGACTAAAAAATGGTTGAGCACTGTCATACAGAACTCCTCCTTGTCCTGGTGCTTCACACTTCATTTTGTGACATGAATCAAAAACCAAGCGAGTGATTCATTCTGCCCAAACACAACACGGATTATCCTTCCTTACCCTTGGCGTCCAATGGTTCTGCAACTGCAGTTTAACCTGTCCTTTTAAATTGATTTTCACCTTTAGCAGCAAGTGCAAGCAGAATAAAGCCAACACAATGTCTTTGCGTGTCTAGTCATAAAACGCTCTGTAACTTAAGAGTGGACAGCAAGAGTAACTTCCACTCCAGAAAAACTTAATGGCTGCCTCACAGGCTACCTACTTTGGGGCAAGTTTCAAAAGCTATTCATGGACTAGGGTAGCATTTAGGAACATCTTAAGAGCTCGTTGCTAACCAAAAGGTCGGCAGTTTGAATCCACCAGCCGCTCCTTGGAAACCCTATACGGCAGTCCTACTCTGTCCTACGTGATCACTGTGAGTCGCAATGGGTTTGCTTTTTTTTGGTTTAGGGCTTTCTCACCCGCCACCCTTCCTGAAAACTTTAAAACCTCTTTGCTTTCTCCGCTTGATTGTGAACATCTACACATCTATGACTCAGGAACTAGGCTGTCTCATCAGGTACTTCCCCTAAGTTATTATTAAATTTCTCTTGCTATCTTGGTATCTATGGGGAAGTATCAACTACAAAGACATTTTCCCATCAACGACTAGAGAGTGGGGAAAGTGAAATTAAAAAGCATTAAGCAGTGTAAAAATTCTCCCACAACTGGTTTTCCTTTGTGATATATTCATGCAGAATTTATAACCTAGGAAGCCAGAACGACTTAATTCAACAGATGTGACTTTGTCAAACTGTGTGGGTGCAGCACTACAAGGGGAATTACTCAGCTTTGGAAACTCAGACTCAAAGAGGGAATGATCATTTTTCCCCTTACACTAATATCCTGAAAAATCAAGTCCGATGTCATTTAGGAGTTTAGGGCCTAAATTAGATCGAGAGTCATCTTTTAATTAGAATACATAAACTTTTCTCTGCGTTCACAACAAGAAAGGCACCTGTTTGTTTCTACGAGTTAGATCTAAGATTAATGTATAAGTTTAGAATGATCATTGGGTTTCTACTGCACGAAGTTTTGTACTATTCCAAAAGCCAAGAGTAAACACGTCGAGAATATTCACGTTCAACAAATTCACATGGGCGTGAAATTGGCCAAGCGAGTACAACAAAGACACACCTTTTCAGTTTTTCATGATCCTTTTAAAAACCAGCAAATTTTTATGCGTATTGCTTTAAACGAGCTGTCAGGTCGACCCAAAGGATGGATAAGGGCAAATTCACTTCGCTGCAATATAGCTATTTAGAAAGGTTTAACTTGCTGCTAATTTGTGCCAGGAAAAAAAAAAAAAAAAACTAAGCTCTGTTGCAGGTAAAATGTACAAAGACGAAAAAATGTGAAATTTTAAACGAGGAGACAAAGACTAGGGCGCATAAGAAGGGGCATCGATGAAAGTGAGAGGTGAAGACAGTGGGCTTGGGAAGCACTGATTGGCTGGACGACGAAGAAAGGGAAGCTCAAGAAAAGGAAATTTTAGGAAGCTATAAATAGCCAAGCTACACGACGAGAGCTCCAAGATCTACGGGGAAACAGGCACCCAACGGCTCCGTCTCAGGTTTCCGTGGGTCACAAAAGGATAACGGACATCCTCCCAACGGTGGACCTGGGGGCTCGCGCGGCGCTTCCGCCGAACCCGCGGCCCCCACCCCGCGCGCCGCCCCCCGCCCTCGGGCGCCGGACGACGGCGGGCGCGGGGACGGGGAACTGCTGCGAGATGCGGGCCCCGAGGCCCGGGCGCGGCGAGCGCGGGCGGCTATGTTCCTCGGCTGCCCGCCCGCCTTTGTTCGCCCGCGCCCTGCACACTCACCCCGCCGCCATCGCTTGCCCGGAGCCAGGAGCCAAGAGCAAACGCCGCGCGACGCGAAAAAGGAAGCACAGGCGTTTCTCGTCAAAGCAGACTTTATTGGGGCGGCCGGACCGCCTCGCGCGCGCCGGCCGCTCCGCTGCACTGCCCCGGGACAGCCCCTGGCCTCGG